CCCCTTACCCTGTAGCACTAGCCATTCCTGCAGGAGAGAGTGTCACCCCTCCACCCACAGACCAGTGCCAGAGGGAGGTGGACCCTGCAGGCATCCTTAGATTCCCCCAGAAGCCTCGGCTTGACCGCTCTAGTAAAAGAGATGGAGGTGAAAAAAGCATGTTACAAAGCAGTACCTGCAATGTAATCCTAAATGTATGTTTTAGGTATAAAAGACTGAAAAGAAATAGATCAGGGACCCAAGATGTGATCTACCCTGGAGAATGTTCCGTGTGCACTTGAGAAGAAAGTGTAGTCTGCTGTTTTTGGATGGACTGTCCTATAAACATCAATTAAGTCCATCTGGTCTAATGTGTCATTTAAAGCTTGTGTTTCCTTGTTTATTTTCTGTTTGGATGGTCTGTCCATTGGTGTAAGTGGGGTGTTAAAGTTGCCTACTATTACTGTGTTACTGTCGATTACCCCTTTTATGGCTGCAAACAGATGGAGAGTTATACCATATTCTTGGATTGGAAGAATCAATATTGTGAAAATGACTATACTACCCAAAACAATCTACAGATTCAATGCAATCCCTATCAAATTACCAATGGTGTTTTTCACAGAACTAGAACAAAACATTTCACAATTTGTATGGAAACACAAAAGACCCCAAACAGCCAAAGCAATCTTGAGAAAGAAAAACGGAGCTGGAGGAATCAGGCTCCCTGACTTCAGACTATATTACAAAGCTACCGTAATCAAGACAGTATGGTACTGGCACAGAAACAGAAATACAGATCAATGGAGCAGGATAGAAAGCCCAGAGATAAACCCATGCACATATGGTCACCTTATCTTTGACAAAGGATGCAAGAATATACAATGGAGAAAAGACAGCCTCTTCAATAAGTGGAGATGGGAAAACTGGAAAGCTACCTGTATAAGAATGAAATTAGAACACTCCCTAACACCACACACAAAAATAAACTGAAAATGGATCAAAGACCTAAATTAAGGCCAGACACTATCAAACTCTTAGAGGAAAACACAGGCAGAACACTCTATGACATAAATCATAGCAAGATCCTTTTTGACCCACCTCCTAGAGTAATGGAAATAAAATAAAAAATAAACAAAAGGGACCTAATGAAACTTAAAAGCTTTTGCACAGCAAAGGAAACCATAAACAAGACCAAAAGACAACCCTCAGAATGGGAGAAAATATTTGCAAACAAAGCAACTGACAAAGGATTAATCTCCAAAATATACAAGCACCTCATGCAGCACAATATCAAAAAAACAAAAACCCAATCCAAAAATGGGCAGAAGACCTTAACAGACATTTCTCCAAAGCAGACTTACAGATTGCCAACAAACACATGAAAAGATGCTCAACATCACCAATCATTAGAGAAATGCACATCAAAACCACAATGAGGTATCACCTCACACCAGTCAGAATGGTGATCATCAAAAAATCTACAAATAATAAATGCTGGAGAGGGCGTGGAGAAAAGGGAACCCTTCTGCACTGTTGGTGGGAATGTACATTGATACAGCCACTATGGAGAACAGTATGGAGGTTCCTTAAAAAACTAAAAATAGAATTACCATACGACCCAGCAATCCCACTACTGGGCATATACCCTGTGAAACCCATAATTCAAGAAGAGTCATGTACCACAATGTTCATTGCCGCTCTATTTACAATAGCCAGGACATGGAAGCAACCTAAGTGTCCATTTACAGATGAATGTTTAAAGAAGATGTGGCACATATATACAATGGAATACTATTCAGCCATAAAAAGAAACAAAACTGAGTTATTTGTAGTGAGGTGGATGGACCTAGAGTCAGTCATAGAGAGTAAAGTAAGACAGAAAGAGAAAAACAAATACTGTATGCTAACACACATATATGGAATCTAAAAAAACAATACTGATGAACCTAGTGGCAGGACAGGAATACAGATGTAGAGAACAGACTTGAGGACACAGGGCGGGAAGGGGAAGCTGGGAAGAAGTGAGAGAGTAGCACTGACACATATACACTACCAAATGTAAAATAGATAGCTAGTGGGAAGCAGACACATAGCACAGGGAGACCAGCTCAGTGCTGTGTGACCACCTAGAGGGGTGAGATAGGGAGGGTGGGATGGGGAGACACAAGAGGGAGGAGATATGGGGATATATGTATACATATAGCTGATTCACTTTGTTATACAGCAGAAAATAACACACCATTGTAAATCAATTATATTCCAATGAAGATATTTTAAAAAAGGAAATAGATCAAATTATTATGAATGGGTTTCTCTGATGGAATTTCAAGTTATTTTTATTTTCTTGTTTTCAAATTTTCTGTCATAAACATTTCCAAAGATGCTGGGTGGTACTTCTTAAGCCCCTATGTATGGCTTTGTACTGAGTAGCCGCCACGAAGACTAGGAGAAGTTGGCCCCTGCCATTTGGGAGTGTGTGCCATTCCGCCACGTTTTTAATTTCTGCCCCTGTCTGATGTGTTTGCTCGCTCTCTTCAGCCTCGTGTCTTTCTCCTCCCCAGATGACCGGATGGCTGGAATCCCCCCACACATCCTCCACAGCTCCCCTTCCGACCAGCAGATCAACCAGCTGGCCCAGAGGCTGGGCCCCGAGTGGGAGCCCGTGGTGCTGTCTCTGGGGCTGTCCCAGATTGACATCTACCGCTGTAAGGCCAACCATCCCCACAATGTTCAGTCCCAGATGGTGGAGGCCTTGGTTCGCTGGAGGCAGCGCTTCGGGAAGCAGGCCACCTTCCAGAGCCTGCACAGGGGTCTCCAGGCCGTGGACGTGGACCCCTCGGTGCTCCAGCACATGTTGGGATGATGGCGCCCCATCAGCACCTGGGGAGTCCATCCCCTAGTCTCGTGTGCCGAATCCTGACTCTCACCCAGTGCAGGTAGATTTGGGGGGACTGGTTTGTTTGTTTTAGTGATTTCTTAGATGAAAGGAGATAATAGGATTTCCACTTGACATTACTTGAAAGGCGGGATTACTCAGTTGATCTCCCATGGTGATTTGACAATTCATTGTTTCTCATTTTTCGGAGATTACATTATTTAAATTGTGCAGGTTTTAATTGTGTGGTTGCCTTTTAATAGACTGGTAGATCCTAGTGGCTCAAAAAAATACAGGTTATAAAGCAGAAACTAACACACCATTGTAAAGCAATTATACGCCAATAAAGATGTAAACAAAAAATACAGGTGTTCTATATATAAAACATCCACTTTTATGTTGCCTGGGAACTGAACTGTGGACTTAGCTATTAATCATGATGTTAATAATAAAAATTGAATTACTGTATATAATGTGGCCCTCTCATGAGAAAGTATTGCTTGTGTTTTTTTTTCTTTCATTCTTGTGTTGCATAGATTAAGGGTGTAAAACTACAGTAGTCATTTCTTTGGAACAGAATAGTAACAGCGAAATGGTTACTTTCTCTAGTCAAGATAAATCGCTCAGGCAGGGTGTCTGCATTAAATTTAAGACACTGAAGCTCCCTGCAAAAACCAGTTCAAGTACCAGCGTGCATACCTGAGCCCTTTATCTTTAAAAGATTTGCTTAAGAAAATCCCGCGCCCTTTATTTAAAGGACTGGGGGTTGGGGGGCAGTGTGGTCTTTCTGTTGAAGCCTTGTTGGTTGAAGTGTTGCGCTCCTAAGGACTGTGATTTAGTTTTCTGACTTTTTACTAATAACACATGGTATTTGTCAAATGCTTTACTGTTTTCAAGGCTTTTCACACGTGTGATCTCATATGGACCTCACAAAAATCCTATGAACTAGTTGGGTAAGAGAGGTGAGCCCCGTCCTGTATCAAGATGAAGCGATTTGCCTGGGGCGGATGAGTGAGCGTGTGTCTTTGCAGCACTGGTCCTGTGTGCCCTTTCCAGCTGCCCCATCCTGCTCCATCCTCTCTCTCACATGCTCTGGAAGAAGCTTGCTGCCCTCCTCCTGCTAGCAGCATCTCCTCAGACAAGTTACTTCACTTCTCTAAGCCTCAGTTTCCTCATTTGTAGAGTGAGGTGATGATTGTCCCCACCTCCAAGATTCTTGTGATGATTAAAGGAATAACATCTGCCACGGGCTTATCTAGTGCCTGGCCCATCATCAGCTCTTGGGAAATGGTAGCTGTTAATTCGCTGCTGTGGCTGAACACGGATGCAGTTCCCAGACCAAGTTGAACAGTGGCTAAAGCTGAGGGCACTGTAGGAGGAAGTGCTATTACCATGTTTCTTGCTAAGCTTTAAAATGTGATATGGCTTAATTAATGCTACAGTGGGTCCAATCAAGAGAGAGACAGGTGAACATTCCCAATCTGTGATCCATCCTTCTGAATAATTATAGAATCTGTTTCCTAATAGTAACAACTCAGAATTTTTCAAAGGGAAAAAAATTCTGAGGGCAAGCATATAGAGTGCTGAGGTTGGACAGAAAGTGGGTGCTCAAAATGGTGACAGTCGTGAGTTAATTACATCCTTTCAGATGTCTAGTAACCATATTCCCTTTCCTAAAAAGAATCGTTTATTTTACTGTTCAACAAACAGTTCAGAAGGATGGTCCACTGGCCTTATCAGCTCTAATTTTCCATTTTGTAGTCCAGCCATTAATTCATTATCTTGTAAAATCCTCACACTTTTGGCCCCATCACTGCACCCCGTGACAGACTGTTCTTCCACGGCATCTTCAATAACTGCTTGTCATTTTGAACCTTGGACTTGTTAGGTCGCTATTCGTCCCCCTGGGTTTGCTAACAGAGAGTGGAGCTTTTGTTTTCACCACATGTATGGATGAGCGAGTATAACTGGGCTCGGCTGCATCCGACTAGATGGCATTTTAGAAGTGGGTCTGATGACTACCCAGGGCATTCCTGCCATTCTGTTATGCACAGGCACCTTTGTGCTCTGTCAGCAGTGAAGGACAATTTGTGAAGGACTTGCCATAATGGGCTGATGGGGTTATTAGGGAGCTCTGACTTGTTGCCCTTAATGAGCAGGGCATCTCCACCATCAAATAGCAGCTGCAGCTCTTTGGGCCTGCTCATGCTCTTGCAGAACATTTGCAGAATGGAAGAACCGAACATCAAATCACTGCCTAATTTCTCCCTCTTACTGAGAAGAGTGATGCTACATGGCATCTGCCTGCCTCCCAAGAGAATCCAACAGGTGATTGCCTGTAAGGAGTCCGTGTGTTTTTGCACGGAAGGTTCCACAATCCCAGAGATTGCCTACTCCCAATAAAATTCTTAATGAGTACAATGAGGTGGTAGAGCATTTGTAGGTGCTGACAAAAAAAAAATGATTAAAAAGTCTAACTCCACTTTTGTTTGGTGTGTGTGTGTGTGTGTGCGTGTGCGCGCACACATGCACATGCGTGAGTATGCCCCGTAACTTTTTAAAAACTGTAACTTCTATGAAATTTTCTCAGTACAAAAATAGTACATCTTTTTTATAGCAGTGAAAAAATACCAATGAGCAAGAAAAAAAAAAAAAAGAATTGCTCCCACTCCCATCTTCCGAAGATAACTACTTTTACAGCCCAGTTTTGGTCTATGTCCTCCAGTTCCTTTCCCATGCCTGCATATTCTCTCTGTAACAAAAACAGGATTGTATCATACATGCTGTTTTACAGTTGGCTTCTTTTATTTAACGTATAACTGTCTTTCCATGTCATTAAAGATTTTTCTATACCTTTCAACATCCTCTGTGATTTTCAGCATCCTCTGTGTTTGGAGCACACTTTAAAATCCTATAATTTTTAGCAGCATATTTGAAGAAATTAAAAGAGACTAGCTATTAAGTATAACAATGTCTTTTTGCTGTCAAAACATCCACCATAATCCCACTGTTTGCTTGGTCCCCCTTTAGAGCCCTGTTGTTACTTGAGTAGAGCTATTGACTGTCCCCACTGTGCATTCTTACATCCTCAAAAAGCAAAGTTGAACACATTCCCATAAATGTTCTGGGCTTTATTCTAAGTTTTTAATCTCTTTCTTACAGCAAGATGCCTTCTCCACTGTGGCATGTGATCCACTCAGCTCAGTGTTCTCTTCCTACAAGTATGTGTTCTGGGGGACAGTAATATTGTGCTCGTCGATCCGAATTTGGTAGGACACCACATTTGATCTGTGTGCAGCCACTGGTCTCCACCATCATTTTTAGTAGTGACATACTTTCCAGTACATGCACGTGCCATGACTTGCAGATCACTTTCCTGTTACATTAGATGGATCTGTAAATGGTTTTTCCTTTTTCACTATTACAAACAGTAATGCAAGGAAAGTCCTTGTTAAATATTTACATTCCACCAGAGGTTACAAAGGCAACTGAGGCAGTAGAATGGGTCTGTCTTCATCCCTTTCTCTGAGGAATTCCTCAGAAGTGGTAGTTTTAGAAAGAGACTTCCCTCATCCAGTTATTCAGTAGACACTTATCAGGAAGCTCCCGTGAGCCAGTTACTCTGCTAAGTGGCGAGGCAAAAAGATGACCAATATACCACAGTCCCGGTCCTCCAGAAACTCACTGTTTGGCCAACGAGACCGACATGGATCTCTAATCACAATATGAGATGATGAAGTCCATGCCTGAGTTGTGAGTCTGGGAGCACAGGGGAGAAAGGATTCACTCTGCCTTGCTTCAGAGGTAAGAGGCATGGAGAATACTCATATGAGGCTCATCTCTTGGGCAAGTTACTCTACCTTTCTGTGCCAGTTTCTTCATATGTAATGTGGACAATAACAGGACTGTGCTTACAATCAGGCTCCCACAAAATGAAAGCTTAGAACAGTGCATGGCACAGCAAAAATGTTTTGCTAAATCACTGAGTTGAATTATTTCAGCTATCAGGGTTTGTCTAATAGTCTCCACCCTACCGGGTCCCTGAGAAGCCTGAGGGTCAAAATCACCCTTTCCTGCTGTGATTTGCATATGAAAATAGGAAGCACATGGTCCTTCAGTACTTTTATCAAGACTTTAAAGACAAGGAATGTGAACTGGTAGGCACAATTCAGAGCATATTCAGAATTGGGATGGAATTCTGATCTAACACTTGGCTATCATTAAATGAATCTCTACAATCAGCAAGCTAGCAAGTTGTGTGCGCTACCAGAGATGCAAAGATAAATAAGACATAGTCCCTGCCCCGTAGGATCTCAGCCTGTTGAGGAGACAAACATAACAGCCAGCAATTACGATAACTGTTTGGCCAGTATCACAGAGGAGGGAGCAACAGAATTGGCCACTGAGGAGGTGACACTTCCATTGAGATTTGTAAGTGCTGCCCAAGTTAGTATGTCGGTCCCTTAAAGGGAAGTTAATGCATATGGATACCAGAATTCCACTTAATTTATTTTACATCCAATGTGACAAATGGCACTTCTTGCCACGGGTCTACAAGATGCCTCCAAGTTACTGTCTCAAAGCAATCTAGAAGCTAAGAGAATTTTATTGATAGACTAAGTGGCCAATATTATCCCGTTCTGTACATCAAGACAACAATGACTTTGAGAAGCATGTGTTTTATTTAACCACAGGGGAATCGGGTCAGGCTTCAGGTTTTAGATATCAGGCATATTTGAGGGTTCTTTGTGCCATCTCTAGCCCTTAGTTCTTCCTCTAAAAGTCCCACAGATTAAAATTAGATGTTGCTGGCATACAAGGAACGTTTTTAATGTAATAACTGCCTGTTTACTTCTTAGAACTGTAAACAGCTTAGAATAGGGATGTCTATCTTGTTGGCATTTGCTGTTTTATAGGAAAATTAAAGTCTCATAAAGACACAGTTCATTGAGCCAATTAAGCTTGTCTGTTAAAATTATGCAGAATAT